CGTCACAGCCAGTTTCTTCGCGGGAATTACGAGGATGGGCGGGAGGCCGCGAGCTCCACCGCACCCGCGCGAAGTCGTGCGTCGTTTTTGTCGAATTCCACCCGCTCGGGCGCCCATCGCGCGAGCAGCAGTCGGGGGTGGAGTAGCGAGGAGAGCGGGCGGAGTTATCGAAGCAGCGCCCGCCACGGGGGAGGGGATCGCAGCCGAGGCTCCTCCTCGACCTCCTCCTCTTCGTCTTCGTCGTCGTCCTCGTCGTCGTCGTCCGAGGACACCTCCGAGGGCGGGCGAGGGGAGGCAAGGCACCTCCGTAAAGGCGACCATTCCGATACGAACTACAACAAACACATGCGTAGCTATCGGAAGATGCTCAAGCGGCATCTCTACCGCGATAATCCCGCCTTCTACAACGCGTTTTTTCTCGATACGGGGAACATCACGGGTGGGGAGCGGCGGAAGAAGCTGATCGTGCTGCCTTCCTACCGCACCTCCGTCATCTCCTTCGTGGATAAAAAAATCTTGAAGAAAGACCTCAACAACAACTTCTACGTCCAACATCCCGAGCTGGAGGTGCGTGGGGTGAAGCTCACCCACCTACGGAAGATTAAAAACGAACTCCTCGTCTACGCGCTCGAGGAGAATTCGCCGCTGGAGCTGACGACGGTCGCGCACGCGTATTGGTATTTCGAGCGGCTTGTCGTGCAAGGGATGGTGAGCAAGGCGAATCGCAAGGTGATCCTCGCCGCCTGCGCGTTGCTCGCGATTAAATTCCTCGAAACGGGGGATGTTTCGAAAAAACTGCAGTACTTTCGCAACCGCTGGAGGCGGTTTCATCTGGTTTCTTCCGGGATCCTTGGAGAGGGCGAGGAGGATGAGATCGAGGAGGATGAGGAGAACGTGAAGGTGGATTGGGGTCAGGTCGAGCGGAATGAGTTTCCCGTCTACGTCGGCCTCGACTTTACCCTCATGCAGGACCTCGGGAGCAACGTCATCGCGACCCATATCGAGCGGCTTCTCCAGCAGATTAACGTCACTTCGCAGGAGTACTACAGCAAGAAGTTCGTTTCACCTGTGTATCTGAACAAGTACAACTATTACAGCAATCTGTATTATTGAATCCCTCAACAACCGCGACTCTCCCGTAGTGAAGCCAACAAATGAAAAGGAAGGTGATGGAGGGAGCGGGGAAGTGAAACCCATGCGTACGTACTCTTCCAAAATGAGAAACACTTCCACTGTTGTCGAAAGTTGATACTTTATGTGAAATGACAGCATGAAGTATCTAAAATAAGGGATCGAACTACATGCTAATTCAGTCTTCATTTTGCCATAATGCAGACTTTTGATCTAAGCAGCCTGGCCTGCATCGAAAAACAAGCTACCAAGCATTTTTTTTTCGGTTTCTCTTCCAGAGTTTTGTTTACATTGTTTGTTCTGAAATATCCTTCATTCCATCAATACATGCCCAATGGAGCGACGCATTGAGGAACAGATCTGGAATCAGTGCTCTAAGCTGCTGTTGCCATCCAAAGTGTCTGCGTGGAACTTATTTGATAAGTACATTCGACAACCTTATTTAGAGCCTCATCGGCATTATCACAACTTAAATCACATTCGAGCCCTGCTTATGGAGCTTGAGGCCTACATCCAAGTGCGGTCAAGCAACTCAAAGGGGGTTTCCCTTTGCTCGTCGGAGCTTTCCTCACAACGCTGGGGTGATTTGGCGGTCGTCCTCGCGATTTTCTTTCACGATGCGGTGTATAATCCCACCAGTAAGGTTAATGAGGAGGATAGTGTGGGCTTATTACGGCGGTTTTTATCCGAAGCTAAGGATTTGTGGGAAGGTCAAACGCGCCACAAGGGAGGGAATCCTCCAAACGACGATTCCACGCCACCCGTTCTTTGGTTGGATTTGCCTTCGGTCGCGTACGTCGAACGCGAGGCGGCGCGTTTTATCATGGGAACGAAAAACCACTTCGAGCCCTCCTCTAGCTCATCCCCCACTTCCCTATCAGATCTCGCGATTCATCCTGGAAGCAGCGAAGGCACCGTGGTGGAAGAGGATCTGATCAATCCGCTGCATTTGGTGCTCGACCTCGATTTAACGGTGTTTGGTTCACCATGGAAGGGTTACGTGAACTACGTGGAGGCGATTCGGATGGAGTATCAATTTTACTCGGACATAACTTTTATGAACGCTCGCTATGATTTTATCCAACACGTATTGGATCAGCCACGGGTGTTTAAGACACGTTATTTTTACGATAAATACGAACGGGTCGCCTTTGAAAATCTAAAACGGGAACAAGAGGAGATGCGAAAGGCGATATCAGCGGGGAGGTTTTATCTTTCTTTGAATTAATGGATCTTAGTCGTGTAATTTCTGTTCTTTCAATCATTGAACTATGTCCTTGTGTAGCATTTAGTTTTCGTCTATCTTCCAATTTATAAGAATACTTTGCCATCACACTGTGTATCAATGCTCGGATAAGGCGGAGTACTCAGGTGGAAAAAGCTGGTATCTGGAAAGATAAGTAAATGATTTCGTTTAATCCCGATAGTGTTGCGAATCTCATTATTACTTTTTTTTGTGCGGATTTGAAAGCTCGCAAAGCCTCTTACTACTATAGAAATACTATTCCAAGAAAAATAACAAAACAAAAAAGAAAAGCTAAGACAATTCACGATGTCGTTGGAGGTTTCCTATACCAAAACCATGACACTCCTCAGTGAGTGCGATGGACGAGATAAGGTCAATAAATTTTTATCGGGCGCCTTTAAGGTTATTGCAGCGATTGCTGAAAAAAATGGTAATCCTAACGCGCGAAACTACAAGGCCGTTGTTTCGCTCGTCGGCAATACTCGCTCGATGATGAATATGGGTAAATTCTTCGCGGAGTTTCAAAAACTGAATGAGCTGATCCGTATCATTATCGCACTGTCCCCTAAATACGTAGGAACGAAGAAATTTTTCGAGATCATGCGAATCGTTTTCAATATCTTGTTCATCATCTGCGATAACCTTGCCCTTATGGCGAACTTTAACTTGCTCGCGGTGAATCGCGTTGCTATGTCGACGCGGGCGAAGAAGTGTCAGACGTTGGGCTACCTCTTCGCGGCGGTTGTTGATCTTTTTAACTTAAAGGATGCGATTTGGAGGTTGAACTACGACCCTCCGGCGGCGAAATACGCGATCTGCAGCTCCGCCTTGCTTTTTGTGCAGAATTCGACGGATGCGTTCACGAACATGTTATTCTTGGGGTATCTCAACTTTATCTTTGCGCCCACGGACGTATCGATTGGAAATCTCACCTGCATTGCGGCTATGATGGGGTTAGTTTCGCATTGGAGGAAAATGAAGTAGTACTTTTCCTTTTTTTTTATAGTTTCAGAAGGTGTTTAATTACTAAAATATTTGGTAAAAATTGAATAAGGGGAAAAAATATCAAATACAATATTGAATTACCAAACCTGACACACAGACGCAAAATAAAACAAGGTGGGAGTCCTCAAAATCAATGAGGGCACTAAAAGAGAAAATTTGCTTATGTTTTCTCGACCAGGGAATCAAATATGCATGCTTGAATATATATATATATATATATATAGTGAGAGAGAAAGCATGCTTCGTAAAATTTTTATTTTTCGTCTTTATTGAATTCACATAAAGTTTATTATTTTACACCTTTCAGATGATCTAATACAGCAAAAATAGTGGAATGTCTGTCAAATGTTGGCGAAATTACTTCGATAATAACTGTGTAGTTTGTGGGTGCACGTGTTGATGCATTTTTCCGCTTCTAATTAACTTTTCCAGAATCTGACGCCCTTTCTCTTTACCACAACCTCAGATTAGAAACAATCCGATTTACTGCATTTTTATCGTTATGGAGAATATAAAATTTTTAGTGTCCTCCCTAAACTTTGAATGTGTGTATGTGTTTGTGTAATGCAGATATAATGCACTGACTTCACATTTCAATTCGATTATAGTACGCTTTAGACATATATGAATATATAAGTATATAAGCTTATTTATATTACGGTTGCCTGAACTTGTCATTGACCCCTACTGAATGCACGTGCTGAACAACTGTTGCCCGCTGAATGCTTTAGACTTGCTACGCATATTGTTTTCCAGTTTGTTGCATCCTAATTTCTATTCTTCTCATGCTTGGATGTGTTCATGCAATATAAATAAGGCGTCAGAAACGCAATATTAGCCAGTATGTGTCTTCCATATATACTTGCAAGTTCTCTGTGGTTGTATTTTTTTGTTCAAGTAATTTATTTTCCTATATCATCAAACCGTTAGGCTAACTTTTTTTCGTGCACATCAAAAGATTAAGGGTCTCGTGATGTGGTTCCATGAAACTAAATGTCTCCTTTAGTTGAGCTCACATTCTTCCCCTTTCCCATATCCCTCCTTTTTGCTCTCTCTCTCTTTCTTCTTTTTCTATCGGTTGTTTATTTATTGTGATTTATTTCATTTCGATCCTTAGCTTTACCAAAATTTTTACGCGTTTATTTTCTATTAACATCCTACTCACTCATTCTTTGAACATCACGACAATGACGGATTTGGAAAGGCTGATCAAACTCCTTAGCCAGACTGATGGCCGCGATAAAATCTACAAGTTCCTTGCCGGCTTCTTTAAGATCCTTGCTGCGATCACCGACAGCCAGGACCCCAGCGCGAAGGCCTACAAAGCCCTTGGAAACTCCGTTGGCAGCGCCCGTTCACTGATGCGCATGGGGAAGTTCGTGGGTGACGTCCCGAAGCTCGAGAAGCTCGTGGTGGGCTTTCAAGCGAAGGGCCTCCAGGGCACTGAGGTGAAGAAATTCATTGAGTTCTTCCGCATCCTTGGCAATTCCCTCTACATTATTGGTGATAACACCGCTTTCATCGCGAAGCATAAGCTGATCCCGGTAAACGCCAAGGTCGTCACGAAGTACTCCAAGATCGCCCAGTTCTGGGGCTTCTTCCTCGCCGCCGTGCTCGACCTCCTCGCGTTACGGTCGGCCCTTAAGAAGCGCGTTTCCGATCCCGCGAGCTGCAAGAAGGAGGCGAAGGGCGCGATTATCAGCTTTACGAAGGACGCCTCGGATGTGCTCGTGACGATGGCGACGGTGGGGTACCTCCGCGATATCTGGCATCCTTCCAACGTCACCGCTGGCGCCCTCACCTGCGTCTCCGGCTCCGTTGCAACCTACCTGAACTGGAATAAGATCGCCTAAAAAGAAAAAAGAAAAGCAGATGCAAATGGGTAAAGAAAATATTATAAGACGGCCCATCTGGGGGAAAAGTCACTAAGTAAATCCTAACTATTAAAGCACGTACCGTATAGAATGTAGGCTATCCATGGTTCGGTTTCACTATCTCATTATTGTTTTTTTTAATTATTTCTACCTCACTTAATTTAATTAGTGTGCAAATCGTGCTAGCCAAGTTCGTTGCGAATACTGCTTTATGTCCAAATTTTCCAATTACGTTTTGAGGGTTTCTCAACAAGATTTCTGAAAGAGGTGTGGAATATTTTATTAGTATGGCTTAAATAAATAATTATTATATAAATTCGAAAGGGAACAACAAAAAAATACAGGGCGATTTCAAATATGGTTTAGCGTATGCCATTTTCAATTATCTGTCAAAAGTGGGCATAGGCTGAAAAATTAAAAGATCAATGACCATGAACTCACTGAAAGGGAAAATAATAAAGTTCAAAAAGTGTTTATGTATGGAGTTTTTTAACTGCAAGTAAGATATATATATATACGAGCAATCTACTTCTATGGGGCATGACAAGTTATGTTTTTCAGAAATGATATTTATTCAGATGGACGTGGAGTAAAAATATATGAACATCTACACTATCAGATAAAACATGCACACTCAGACCCTACATGAAGAAGGATAAAAGAGAAATTAAAAGTATATATGCTGTTATTTTTGAAATCATCTATGGAGACGAAGAGGCGGTAACCAAATGGAGGGCTATATACACTTTAATTATGCAGACACCCTCTTCAAGTACAGAAGAACATAGGAGTGCAAAGGTCCTATATCTATTTATAAAATGAGTTCAATAAAAAAGGGAAATATATCTTTTGGTAAAGGTTATATATATGGTATAAATCAGACATCTGAACTCTGTCCGCATCAGCTGAACTAGCTTCGATAAGATTTTGTGTCCTTTTATGTGGTGTACTTGAATCATGACATGATATATTTCTTCCCTTGTATCTTACGAAGGATGAAAAACCTTTATCTTTAAGATAAAAGGGTTCACATTTGTGCACACCCCTAGTCTATTGCGGCTGTGGTGGTCCATGATTTTTTTTAAAAAGGGCTCATCAAGCGCATACCCATATATACACTCACCAATATATATATCTTATTAGATATAGTATATATACATCATCTCAACTCTGAATAGGGTGCCATTCATGTTGCATGATCCCAAATCCCCTCAAAGAACCCCTTAGAGCGCCTTCTTCCCGCATGAACCACCTCCTGGGGGCAGCCTGCGTCGTCCACCTCGGCCGCCCGACCTCGTCAAAGGAATCCAAAGCCTCCGCGAACACGATGAGTGGGGTTCTTTTGGAGGTTCGAAGGCTCTGGCGGCCCCCTCCCCCTTCCCCCCCGACGGAATTTCCGAAGGAAACGCCCGGCAACGGTCACGAAGACACCCCTCTTTACGCTTACGTCCGCATTAAAGAGGTTGATCATCGTCTTAGCGGATGGTTTCCGCTCCGCCAGGTTGAGTTCAAGGACCCCCCACAGCAGGCTTTGGAAAAAGCGGCCTCAAGGCTTGCCAGTGACTGTATTCAAGAGCCCATTCTCAGCTCTGTTTACACGGAGGTGACCGCCGGGATGGCGCGGACGCAACGCGCTAAGAAGGAGCTCAACTACTTCGAAGAACGACTTCTCCGGGATGGGATGACGCCGACGACGGTTCGCAACTTCGTTTACCTCAACCGTTTTGTCTTCCGGGCGTGGTATTACGCCCCTTATGGGCTGTTACACCCCGCTTACGACCCGGTCGTTCCCCTCCGACTTCACCCCCCTCCTGCAATACCGAATCCTTTTATCAAAGACGCCTTTCTCTGCCCGTTTTCGCTGCGGGTGTTCACGACCTATGAGCAGATGTGTTATGAAACACGCGCGTACCGTGGTGGGCGGCTGCATCCGCCCGGTTCTGAAATCTACCGCGATGATCGCCGTGGGTTTTCGTTATTCATGATCAACGGCAGTCAACACGTGACGTACTGTCGACATTTGTTTTGTATTGGAAAGTCTTTTTTGGAAAATAAGCTCGCTGGGCATGACGTGCATAGCTACTACTTCTACGTCGTCGCCCTTCATCACGGGCACTTCCCACGCTACGTGGACGACCCCAACGCGATGTATTTTGCGGGGTATTTCACCTGGGAGAAACGGGTGGCGGAGTTTAACCTCGCGTGCATCCTGACGTTGCCGTGTTTCGCGGGGCGAGGGGATGGTCGGCTTGCGGGGACTTCTTCTTCGGCTTTTTCGGCGTCCGATCCTTCGTTTGGGAAGGAGACGACGGGGAAGACGCCGTGCGGCCCGCTTCGTGGGATCGGGCAGTTTATGATCGCCGTGAGCTACGAATTGGCGTACCGTCGCCATCAGGTGGGGGGGCCGGAGAGGCCGTTTTCCGACCTCGGCGCGGTCGCCTACACGCGGTTTTGGCGCTGCCGGGTCCTTCGCTGGCTTCACGCGCAGCTCACCGCGGGGGAGCGCGGGCGATCCCCCACCCCTGCCCCTCGTGTGGAGGAAGGGGGCAAAGGGGTTCTCGGCAAACGCCAGCGACCCCCTTCATCGGCCGCGCGGCTGTCGAAAAGACGAAACACCAAGGAAACGCCGTTGAACCTCGACAGCGACTCCTCCAGCGAGGAGGAGCGCGCGCACAGGGAGGCGGGCGACGCGCTTCGCTCGGGCGTCAGCATCGGCGAGATCGCCCGGGAGATCGGCCTGGAGGAGGCGGACGTCCTCGAAACGGTGCGGCGGATGGGGCTTGTTCACTATAGCGCAGAGCACCGCAACTACTGTTTGATGATCCCGCGCGCGTTTGTGGAGTGGGAGGTGGGGCGATTGGCGAGGTGGGAGTTGAGCACGGAGTGCGCGACGTTTAACCCGGACCTGCTGCGTCTGAAGCCGTCGGCGGGTGCAGGAGGGGTGGGTGGCGGGCATCGTGCGTAGGCGCCGGGGAAGGCGGTATCAACATTAATCCTTACTTGTGTTTTTAAGGACAGAAAAACTCGAGATGAACGAAAATGCGATGTTCTTTCCACAGAAGCTTTCTGTTCTTACTAATAGTAAAGTGCTCCTTTATTTGGGTTTTATTGCTTTCTCTTTTCGCGGGATTTTTAGGGGTGGGTGGGTAATAAAGCAGCATAGAAAAAATAAAAAGGAAAGCCTCACATCCAAAGGAAAAAGTGGTTTCAGGAGATTTTACGTTTTCTTCTTTTAAATCACTTATATTGCTTCCATAGGATTGCTCTTTTCTTGCTATACAACTCTATATCTGAGATATATAGGAGTAAACTCAGTACATTTCGCATAGAATACCATACATTTATTCTTAACTTATCAGAGATAAAAAATCAGAAGATAACTAAACGACTAGATAACCAAGTGTGCCCCGCCCTAGCCCTCATCAGGGATAGGTTCTTACTGGACTAAGACATTCCCTGCTTTATTCTAAAAAAAGAAAAAACACTAGCAGAGTGCGAAGGCGAGCGCTACTTCATACATATAAATATACATATATATATATAATAGGCTTTAATATTGCAAGGGCGTGAAACAGAGGAAAGAGGGAAAGGGAGAAGAGTGAGAATCACAATGGGGAAAACGGTGGAGCAGATTTATCAAAAAAAGACTCAGCATGAGCACATCCTAACTCGTCCTGACATGTACATCGGTACAATAGAATCCTTGACTGATGAAATATGGCTTTACGACGAGGCGGATGCGATCATGAAGCAACGATCGTGCACGTGGACCCCTGGTCTTTATAAAATCTTTGATGAAATTCTCGTCAACGCGGCAGACAATAAAGTGCGTGATCCTTCCGGGCAGACCTTAATCAAGGTTTGGATTGATGAGCGCAGCGTGCGAGTTTACAACAATGGAGAGGGCATTCCAATCCAAAAGCACCGCGAGCACGACTTATGGATTCCAGAGATGATCTTCGGTCACCTCTTGACATCCTCAAACTACGACGATAACGAGGCTAAAGTAACTGGTGGCCGCAACGGCTTCGGCGCTAAACTCACAAACGTGTTTTCGACACGTTTCGAAATCGAAACAGTGCATAGTCGCTCTCGCAAAAAGTTTTACATGAAGTGGACTAACAACATGCTGCAGCACGATGAGCCGCTCATCACCTCATGCGATAGTCCAGACTATACCATGGTGACCTTCTACCCTGACTTCAAACGTTTTCAGGTGGAAAAGTTTTCTGAGGATATGATGTTGTTGATGCGGCGGCGGGTCTATGACATCGCTGGTTGCACCGATAAAACGCTCAAGTGTTTCCTGAACGGTGAGCGGATCGCCGTGACGAATTTCCCGGAGTATGTGGCTCTATATCCTACGATGGGGGAGGAGGTCCACAAGCACAGCTACGCGCGCGTGAATGATCGCTGGGAGCTCTCCGTGCGGGTTTCCAATATCGGATTTCAGCAGGTAAGCTTTGTCAATTCCATCGCTACGACGCGTGGTGGGACTCACGTCAGGTATATTCTTGACCAAATCATCAATAAAGTTATTGAACAGGCTAAAAAGCGGAGTAAAACGGAGGTGAAGCCGCACATGATTCGCCCGCATATCTTTTTGTTTCTCAATTGCCTTATTGAAAACCCCGGATTTGACTCACAGACGAAGGAGACGCTAAACACCGTTAGAACCAGGTTCGGCTCGACATGTGAGATTCCTTCCTCCATGATTGATTACATTCTGCGCTCTGGAATTGTTGAGCGCTCGGTTGAGATGGCGAACAGTAAGCTTACGAGGGAAATGGCTTCCAAAATGAAGAACGCGGATCGACGACAGATCTTAGGTATTCCTAAGCTTGACGACGCCAACGAGGCTGGTGGAAAGTATAGCTACCGCTGCACACTCATTCTTACAGAGGGAGACTCTGCCAAGACGCTTTGCACCGCCGGTCTTGCCGTGAAGGATCGCGACTATTTTGGAGTCTTCCCGCTGCGTGGCAAGCCGCTCAACGTACGGGACGCCTCGCTAAAAAAGGTGATGCAGTGTGAGGAGATTCAGAGCATTATTAAAATTATGGGATTGGACATTCGACAAAAGAACATCGACGTGAACACGCTGCGGTATGGGCATCTGATGATTATGTCCGATCAGGATCATGATGGGTCGCATATCAAAGGGCTGATCATCAATATGATTCAGTACTATTGGCCAAATCTACTTCGAGCTCCGGGGTTCATGCAGCAGTTCATCACTCCTATTGTTAAGGCAAGACGCAAATCCCGGGGGACCGGTGAAGGCAAAGCCATTTCCTTTTTCTCAATGCGCGACTACTTCGACTGGAAGCAAAGTATTGGGGACTCTATCTCGAACTACGAGATTCGGTACTACAAAGGTCTTGGCACGTCTGGCGCGAAGGAGGGCCGTGAGTACTTTGAAAACATCGAGCGCCACCGGCTTGACTTTGTGGAGGAATCTCCGGCGGATTCGGATCGAATTTGCATGGCCTTCGCTAAGGACCGCGTGGAGGAGCGCAAGGAGTGGATTACGCGCCACAAGGCTAATGAGAACAACACCGAGACGATAGACTACAGCGTGCCCAGGGTGACGTACGGGGAATTTGTCGACCGCGAGTTGGTGCTCTTCTCCATCGCCGACTGTGAGCGCTCGATCCCGAGCATACTGGACGGCTTCAAGCCCGGCCAACGGAAGATTCTCTTTTCCTGCTTTAAACGCAACCTCACGCGTTCGATTAAGGTGGTGCAGCTCGCCGGTTACGTCTCGGAGCACTCCGCCTACCACCATGGGGAGCAGTCTCTCGTACAGAGCATCGTCGCGATGGCGCAGGACTTCATCGGCAGCAACAACGTCCCTTTGCTCTTTCAGGATGGTCAGTTCGGTACGCGTTTGCAGGGCGGAAAGGATCATGCCGCGGGACGATATATCTTTACCAGGCTCACACGCCTCGCGCGCTACATTTTTCACCCCGCGGACGACTATGTGGTGCAGTACCGCGATGACGACGGACTCTCCGTGGAGCCCTTTCACTATTGCCCTGTCATTCCTATGGTACTTGTGAACGGTACCTCCGGTATCGGCACTGGTTTCAGCACTAATATCCCGAGCTACAATCCGATTGATATAATTGATAATTTAAAACGTCTAATTAACGGGGAGAGCGTGTTGCCGATGCAGCCATGGTATTTCGGCTTCACAGGCACTATCCGAGAGAAAGAAAAGGGTAAGTTTACATCTCACGGGAAGTACGAAATTCGTCCTGACGGGATCATTTCTATCACGGAACTCCCCATAGGGGTTTGGACACAGGTGTACAAGAAGTTTCTCGAGGACCTACGTGAAAAGGAGATCATTGTGCAGTATCGCGAGCACAATACGGACGTCACGGTCGATTTTGATGTTTTTGTACACCCGGAGGTCCTTCAGTTGTGGCGCGAACAGGACGTCGTCGAGGATCGTTTGCAGCTTCGCGAGTACATTCACGCGACCAACATTATCGCTTTCAATTTTGAAGGCCGACTCACCAAATATCCGGATGCGGAGTCGCTTCTGATGGAATTTTACCCTATTCGCATCGATTACTACATTAAACGAAAGGACTACATCCTCGGCGAGCTGCGACGTACGACAAGCAAGCTAGAGAATATGGTTCGCTTTGTGCGCGAAGTCGTCAATGGGCAGCTCGTCGTGACGAAGCAGAAAAAGCGAGACCTCCTTGAGGAGCTACGCCGGCGCCAGTACACACCATTCCCTCCGCATCAAAAGAAGAAAGTCACGGCCACCACGATCGAGCAGGACGACGACACGGCAAACACCCAACAAGATATGGATAGCGATCTGCAGTTTCTGGAGCACGGACGCGACGACGCTGCGGTGGGTGGCTTTTCCGTTACTTCGACAAGCGCGACAGATTTGGTGGGGGAGGATCCACCTGAGGTGGTCCGTGCATCCCGTGACTATGACTACCTGCTTGGAATGAAGCTCTGGAGCCTCACGTTTGAGATGATCGAACGTCTAGAGGCGCAGCTACGGCGAGCCAAGCAAGAGACTGAGGCAATGGAGAAGCGAACACCGAAGGAGTTGTGGCTGAAGGATCTGGAGACACTGCGCCCCCAACTAATCGCGTATTTTTCCGAACGAGAGCGCGAAATTGCTTCTATTCAGCGCAAGAAAATGGAGAAAAAGAAGCCATTCGATGCCAGGCGGCTGCGCGTGCCCATTTTGTCCGATAAGGCCCGCCAAGGTTTACAGAAAGAGGTTAGTAAGCTCTCCGCTGGTCGTCGTGCTGCACAAACAGATGACGTGATGAATGGGGATGAGGCCAGTAAGACCAGAGGTCGACCCCCCTCGTCAGATAAAAAGCCCCCGCTCAAGAAGAGGAGGCGGAAGAAGAAGGGTAGCGATGATGACGAGAGCCTTTTTGACTCTTCGTCGAACCCGGACTCTGACGACCTGGACGACAGCCACGATGGTGGCAATATTGTGGGCGTGGGCGATAGCGAGGAGACATTGGCCGCCATGCGTGCAAAGGCAAGCAAAACCCAGCAACGGCGGAAGGCAGCGGACAAAAAGACCGGTGAGGCGTCATCAACCCAACGAAAGCCCCGCAAGCCGGTGGGGGAGTTGACGGGAAAAGCCTCTGCGAAGGCCCCTACGACGGTCACGGTGGCCGATGATTTCAACCTCGACGGGTTCGGCTTGGATGCGCTCTCGACTCCGGCCTCAACGCATCCACCTCTCCCCCTCCCTTTGTTCACCCCCGCCCCCGTAAATGACCATTCCAAACTTGAAATGGACGATGAGGACGACGACTTGGCGGTGCTGGGGCTGGTGCCGCAGGGCCGAGGAAGAGGAAGAGGAAGAGGGAGAGGGGGGGCTTCGGCTGCCCCGGCGACGCGTCTGGTGAAGCCACGAGGACGGGCGGCGACGAAACGACGTCGTGCGGATAGCGACGAAGACAGCCTCAGCGCGTCCTCCTCGGAGGGGAGCGCCTCGACGGGACCGGCCACCAGTGAGTCCTCCAGTCTAACCAGCAGTGAGGCGTCCGACGAGGACTTTAGTGACTAGACACAAGCCCGACGGTCAGGGAGGAGGGGAGGGAGTGCACCTGTGACTCGGGTGTGTGTCGTGTGTCCTCATAACCAGACCTTAGAAGGGGGATTTCGATAGTCACAGCGGAGGCGGTTGTCTCTTCTTTCCTCTTTCTTTCTTTAGGAGAGGACAGGTCATGAAAGCTGACAAGTTACGCTTGTTGTTGCTTTATCCCTTGCTAAAGAACATACAGTAATGGGCATCACTGTTTCTATTTTCGGCTAATCCCACACTCTTAGCTATTTGTATATCTGTTTATATCATATTAGTGCTCATGGAAAGTGATAGGGGGATTCGCGCCTATGGAATCATATGCTACTTAATCTAAGCTTTTGGGATAATGGGTATGGGGAAGGGGAAATACTGCTGAGCTTTCCTTTTACCTTGTATACTCTATTAACTATACGATCATCATTTTTGTCCTTTTACAACTTTCACTTTATCTTTTCATTCATGCTACCATTTACCACTGACTTCTCAGCGTGCATTCGTTGAAGCGATAAAAAAGGGAGTAGCAGGAACCCCATACCATAAGAAAGCCTCCTTCCTGTAGCAGAACCTTTTTCTCAAAATATACGCATATATACAATCATCTATATAGATTTTCGCTCCTTTTTTTTTTGGTTATTAACGGAAAGGCTTCATAGAAAATGAATAGTGGATCAGCAGCTCGTGCTTACAATAGGTCCGTTAGTCGTGATCTTCAATCCAGCTCCAAACTCCTCGTTGTCGTCATTGGAGAGCCGTTTGTATCGACCCCCTCCAACCCCCTGGGCTATCCTTTGAGTCCTATCACCCCTAGTCAGTCTCTTCCGTACGCATTGCTTCCGATTTGCAACACTCCACTTATCGATTACATTCTGGAGAACTTTGTTGGGAATGGAGTGACCGAAGTAACCATTTTACTTAACCCGGGATCGGTTAGCAAAGTGCAGGCTCATCTTTCTGGTACCCGGACCGTTCGTGGTAAACCCTGGACATGCAGTGATGCAATGAAGGTGAACGTACTAGAGTGTATGCGCGACATGCATAAGCTCTCGGACGCTGTTAACGAGATTCGTCACCGAAATGTTGTACCACAGTCTGGGTCGTTCTTAATTGTACCGATTGACTGCATAAGTGTTTTTCATAATAACTTGCAGGATTACTTTCAAAAACATCTTGAGCGCGCTAGAACGATCGACAAGTACGCTGCCACTCTTCTTTGCACGACCGCGAGGCAGAATCTCGACTCTACGTTGTATAATGTCTTAGTTCAAGGTTTAGAGAGACACAAGGAGGCTAAGCTGCGGGAGGAAACAGGTTCGCCCACCTCTATGAGAGGCTCTGTCGACATGGAGATCGACTACATCAAGGGTTGCGATCGATTGAGGTACCGTAGGATACCTGCCCACCCCAAAGGACACCATACGATGTTTGTTTTGGACAACTCCACTGGTGTCGTTCAGTACATGTCTAGGCTAGATACGAACACTGAGGAAGCACCAGAACCACCGTTAATAACATTTTCTCGAAAAAAACAGATCTCGATTCGGATGGACTTAGTGCCAACAGGGCTCCTCTTTTGCTGTTGCGAGGCCCTCGCGCTTATTGATTTCCACATCCGTGACATCCACAGCTTCCTGACCATGTCCTTGCTGGGACATACCGAAATTTACGGGAACGTGTTTGGTGTGCTCGAGGTGCCAGCCTGTCACGCCACTATCGAGCCTGTGAATAGCCTAGACACGTACATCGAGGCTAACTTGGACGTCTGTTCCCGTCGTCTCTTCCCTCTCACACGTGATAGTCTATTTGCAGAAGCGCAGGCAAAGTATGCTGTACCTCCTTCCTGTGAAACGGTCTATATGCACACCAGCGCTAAAGCTCTCGGGCCCATCAGCGGACCAAATGTGGTTGTCGGTGAAGATGTAGTGGTCCCGGCGTCGGTGCAGCTCATAGGCACGGTAATCGGCAAGCATGTGGTATTTGGCGAGGGGTCCTCGCTCACAGGTTGTGTTGTGCTTGATGGTGCGCAAATCGGCAAAGGCTGCAATCTGAGAGGCTCTGTGATTGGCTGCAGTGCCATCATCGGAGATGGGGTTGAGCTCTCCGGCTGCATCATAGGTCACAACTGTGTTTTAGATGGTTCTGTTGGCAGTAACGAGGGTTCCGTAGCTAATGGCAACAACATCAACAACGGTACAAGCTTAAGCCTATCTTTACACGGTCAGGTAATTGTGAACAATGAGTTAGCATGTTCTGGTACTCAGCTTCACGGACAGAAAGCGATGGGGGTACCCTCACCGGGGATGTCCTATGATATTACCAACACCAGTACCTTCGGAAATAGTTATGACAACAAAACCGACCATCATTTTGTGGGTCCGCGTGGAATAGGCAAGGTCATAGTCAATCCTTACAAGGACCTCATTGTCGACACTTCCGTTCTCTTTACAGAAGATGCCGTACCTAAGCCATCTACAGTCGAGGAGGTCGGATCAATGGATGCGGAGGACGACGAATTCGAGCTGTTCCGAAGCAGCGTTAGAAAAAATGTGAATGTAGCGCTACATAAACCGTCACACATTGAAGCAGCCGCTTACGACATGTCCACCATTTGCCTTTCGGAGGGTCACAGCTACCCGGAACTGTGCGAAGTCGTAACGGAGTTCCTGATGGAGCATGTTTTAGACATTCACGCCGGCCGAGGTGTGGAGGCTTCCCTCGAAGGAGCCCGCAGCCTTTTCGCGCAATGGTGTCGGCCTTTTTACAACACGTTTCTCTCAAAGAACGGCCAGATGAACATGGACGCCATGGTGACGACGCTGGAGGGCCTTTGTGTGACTATTCGGCATCCTGAATGTGTCCTCCACAACTATGCACCGCAGTTGATCGAGATATTGTACAATGGTTGCGATCACGAGCTTTTCTCCCAGCGCGGGTATTGCATCGTGAGCGGCCAAGGTCTCATCGCCTTCGACAACGCCATGGTGCGGAGGAGGCTGAACTTACAGAAGTACGCCGGCTTTGAGGCAAAGAAGAAAACTCCCGTGATGGTCAATAAACTATCCCCCTTGCTTTTGGCCAGTGAGGACTCCTCCTCCGATGATGACGACAGCGACTCCTCGGACGCTTGTTCGCGTGACAGCCACGAGGAGGGGAAGGTGCTCGTTGCGGCGACGTGCCACAATTTTATCTTGAGCGTCAAGAATTCCTTACAACCCGCCCCAAGTACTTTGATGAGGTCCCCAATGTATTCCGAGAGCCCGAATCACAAGGATATAGGCCGCCCTAGTCATAGCAATCGTCCCAAACTTGTTTTGATATCTGACAGTAGTGATGACGAAGACGAAAGCGATTAAAAGAACAAAAAAGAAACTGACATTTACCGCCAAATGAGGAGAGGGAGAGAGAGAGAAATAGGAAGGTGTGTGTTCATAGCCGCAGCCATTTGTACACCTAAATGTCTATAATTAAGTAAGACGTTCGTTTCGTAAAAAAACGTTGCGAAAGATTATTTCCAAGGCGTATAAAGAATTACTATTGTTTGTTGGTGTCATCCTATTATAGGTGTAATGTGTGTGTACCATTGCCTAGGGAAACGACTTTCAGGGGAACTAAAACGTAAGTAATTTATGTCTACACATAATTGATATTAAAGACAAACTGGGCCAGCCCGTGTGCACCCTCCTTTCGACGGGCTTTGATGAGATACGGCATAGTTCTCTGCTTTACATATTTGGGATGCATATTCAATTGTACATATAAAAGTTCTTTTTTGATATTTGAATTGTCTTTTTATTTCTTTGTTTCTCTTGCTGAAAGCCATCTTACGCATTAATCCATAGAGGAACATAGTGAATACAGATTAAGTTTATTCCATTCACTTATAGACACTTTATTTTAGATCATAAAATACACCTTTATCGTCACGTGAAAGCCGTTCGGTGTACATACAAATATCGATTTCTCTCTCTTTTCTACTCTAATCAGTGGACATTGCATTCCAACATTTAATCCATAAACTAGCACTGAAAATTTAGGGCTCATGTCCTCCGTGAATTCGAATAGCACCCCGAGTCACTCCACTGTTGACCCCCTTAGCGAGCTTCATGCACGCTTGCGTTCGTTAGAAGATGAAAATGAGTACTATAACCAGCTAAAGGCACGCGCACAAAATGCTTTAGAGAGCCATCGCAGTGATCTGACACTGCTTCAGCAAAAAGAAAGAGCCATCTTTGCCGCAAGAGAAGATGATCTCCGCCTTCAGCTTCAGGAAGCCCTTCAATTCAACCGTAAGGCGTTTGAGAAAATTGAGGAGGCGCAGCGGAAAGCTCACCAAGAGCTGCGGGAGGAAATATTGGCCACCCGCACTGAAGGCTCGACACGACTGAACTCCCTGCAAGAGGAGCTGGAGGCACTCTGGCGCGAGCGGCTCAAGTTGGAGCGTGATCTTATGAATCTTGAAGGTGAAGCAAATAGGATCAAAGACATCGTTCGGGATGATATTTATGAACAGTCGTGTTTGCATGCCGAGCTACAAGAGGCCAAGCAGGCTTTGTTAGATAGTCTTCATCAACTTGCTGCGACGGATCGTTCTCGTGGTACGTGTTCTAAGGGTGCTTTGGAGACGCCTACTGTACTCAAAACTCCTGCCTTGTTATCACCCCGGTGTGTGGAGTCGCCGAAGAAACGTTTTATTCCAAGTGGTCCCACCATTCCACGCGCAAGAAGTGGACCACCCTCACGACATGGCAGTCGTCGGTGCCGTTGTGCTTGTTCACTCTCTTCACCCTTACGAGCAGCCCGCGACCGGCGAGATGGTTCTGGCAATATCCCCGAATCGCACAACCTCGCATCGATGGTTTCCACGCTGGAGCGGCGGAACTATTTACGCCCGAGGGCATATCTGCAGCGCCACGGCCGGGATATGGGTTACCAGTCGGCATCGATCAAAATCATTGGCTGTGCGCCTCTGCCTCTTTTATCTGCCTCTCCGGCGACGGTAGTTACCCCGAGTTTGAGGTCGCCGCCGCGGGTGTCTGCCGGTGAGGCGAATACGAGAGCTCCCAGGATGAGCACAACTGAGGGTTCCCCTTCTGAAAACAAATCAGCCACAATCGATGCCAACAGCCCATCCACATCCAGTTCGGTTAGCAATAATAGGGGTAACTTTTCCATACCCCAACAGCAAACTCAGCGGGAGTCGCATTCTCCCAAAACACGTCCCCACTCCAAAAGCTGCGCCAAGTGTTTCGACTCCTCGCCGTCCGGCCCACGCTCGCCAGCGCCTATTACAGATGGACTTACGTTGGATGCCGCATGTCAGATGCTGAAGGAGGAAATTGCCGAGTTAGAGGGGGCATACGCCGCGTTTTATGAACAGCTGCATGACCCCTGTTGCGACTCTGTGGCGGCGAGTCAGCAGATGCGGCAGCTGATGGCGGTGATCGATCGAAAGGTTGACCAACTCCAGACGCTGCGTTTTCAACAGCAGAAACATCAAGAGAAATTGCGAATTCAACACGTCTTGAAGCAGGTAGAACGTGAGAACAATTGGTGTGAGCAGGTGTACTCTAATATTGTTCACTTAGTTAGGACACCGTAGCGCCGCGCCAGCTCATATTTTTCATATCATGATCACTTTGCCAATGGTTTAGTGTGAAACTAACATAAAGACTTTACATAGAGATATTGGCTCGCTTCTAATTTCGTTTTTATCTGTTTTTGATGCGTGTATAGATTTTTATATAGAGTGTATATCATCTACTTGTCACTTTTCCCTTTTTTTTTGCTACAATCAATCAAAACAAAAAGGGACTACTCATATCAACCAATCATTTTTTTGTTGTTTTTAAAAATATCGAATAGTTCATGTACGTATTATTCATGATACGCATATGTCTATTGCTAAGCTTTCCTTTTATGTAAATGAGATTTCCATAATGATTATCTACGATTCCTATCTCTGTGCATTGTAGCATATTTCTCACCCCGAACTTCAGCAACAATTTAAGGAAGGTATCACACTGATACCACACGAAACGCAACCACTCAACCTAAGACACGGTTTCAAATAGGATCGCTTGGTAAACCACATTTTAGTCTGAAGTACATTCACCACTTTACTCTTTAACTCTTTCGTGATGGAACATATGCTAACTTGCATGCTGCCCTATCTGGACAAGCATCTGGCTCTAGGTCTCCTTAGCTTTTACGAAGAGAAAGGTCTCGATGTTGAGGATGCCAAGGCCAAAGTGCTAGCAACCACAGCCCTCACACCCCAGTACACCGTGAAACCGGAGCAGGAAGAGCGGATCCAGGCCACAACCGTCCGCGCCCAGCCCGCACTGGACGAGTTTTTCGAAGGTTCCGACAACGAGGACTACACCTATCAGTTTAAACTCACTGGTAGTGAGGTGGAGCAGCTACGGACTCAGGGCGAGCTCTCCTACGACTTTCTGCGCAGCAAAAAGGGAATCACCAGGGCAGTGATGCAAGCCGTCATGGAACTTGCTTTCTTGTACTACGATAAGGGCAGTTATGGCGATGCGTCTGAGCTGCTAGCGCTCTGCCAGTGCGTCAGCGGCTACGACCTACCTTCTGAAACGATTCTGTGGGGAAAGCTCATGTGCGATACCGGGGCCTGTAACTGGCAATCGGCAATCGAAATGGCGGCCGCGATTCGTAAAAATCAAAACAGCGACGATGAAGAAATTTTCCGTCAAGCCAACGCGACCACCATCCAGGCACGTGCGTGGCTGCTGCACTGGGTGCTCTTTCCGTTTTTCAAAGGTGGCAGTCAGTACCCTGTGCAGTTGCTCTACTACGTCTTTGACCACCGCTCCGAGAATATATACCAGAGTGTGATTGAGACGCTCTGCCCGCACTACCTGCGCTATGTGTGCGCGGCCGTCTTGTTGAACTACACGCGTCATTCCAACTTCAAAGCGGCCGCTATCATGACGGAGGGCATCTACGAGTACTCCGACGCGCTCACGAAGTTGGTGGGATTGATTCAAAAATCTGACTTCGAGGGCGCCCTTGCGTTGCTGCCGGAGGTCGAAACGGTTGTGCAGGAGGACTTTTTCCTTTGCGACCTAGAGGATACTTTGATGAACAAGATCAAACGCCTAATCTTCCAGCGGTACATGTCTCTCCACATGGTGGTGTCGATTCCTTATGTTGCAGATAAGCTCGGCATGTCGAAGTCCGATGCGGAGGTGTGGCTGGTTAACCTTATCAGCGATTCCAAGCAGAGGGCTAAGGTCGACTCCGTCAATGAGCAGCTTAACGTGGAGCCGCAGACCCGCGCCGCAGATTCACTGGTCTATGACAAACTTGAGTCTGTCTCTCGCAAGTAAATCAGGGGTTTCGTTATGCGCATTGCCATGTATGGGAAGGATCTTAAGGGCTAGAGGTTAGTGCAGTTTTGTTGTCTTTATTCGTTGTGACGTATAAATGTGATTGAACGAGAAAAAAGAATCAAGTTGGTCAATAAATAAAACTGGAAGTTTTGATCTAATATATGCATTAAATATTTTGTAATAAGTATGATTAAGCGCAAGCACTGGAAAAATTAGCGTGTATTTTTCCACTCGTCGATGCAGACACCTCCAGATCTAGACACTCGACTGCATAGTATGTGTGCAAATCTTTGCCGCTGCTAGAATAACAATTGAGAAATATTCGTTCTAAAATGAACTTCAACCAGATTGGTCCGCTTATTTTCATTCTCGTTTTCTTTTTTCCTCTAAATTGGCATCTCTTCTTGATATGACGTCTCACCATAGCCTTGTATTCTAGAACAATAGGTTGTTTCAAGCTGCGAATATTACTTTGGCAGTCATAGGAGAGCCCGAGGACGTGTGGTCTGATCAACTTATCAAGACGACTGAATATTCAGCAGAATAAAACACCAAACATCACACTTACCTGTCTATACTTGTATTTATACGTAAAGCAAAAAGTATATCGATATCTTTGTCAATAACCATATTTCACTACATTTGTCTATTAGAAGCAGTTTTTTTTCCGTGTTGGTCCATCAAATATTTTGCTTCAAGGTTTGAGACTTGATTTTCTTGTAATAACATTTTCTTAAATTAGAAGAGCTCGTTATAGAGCTTACCGACGAGCTTTGCAACTCTTCAGAAGGCAAAAAAGAACGCCGAAAAGTTGATACAGGATATTTAGAGGGGAACATATATATATATATATATATATATATATATATTTACCCTTTATATCTATCATTCTATCTACTGTGAATGCCGGTTCAGCGCCAGCGCCCGCCAACGGCGTTGAAAAACAATAGGGCCCCAAGACTCCAACCTTGGGATGTCTACGCGCACAGTGTGGCGTCTCAGCAAGAGCGTAAACTAGCTCGTCCGTCTCGGCCTGAACGATCGCCGCGCCCGCCGCCGGCCGCGAAACCTTCTTGTGAGGCCGTCGCCTATGAGTACTTCAGCCGCAAGTCGAGGGCGCCATCCCCGCAAAGCCGTGAGCGAGGTCCTTCTCGTCGAGGAGAATCCCACTCCAAGGGGGTTTCCGTGGGCGAGGGCAGCGACGTCAGTGGGGGAGGGGGCGCCCTACGTCGGCCTCGGCGATATGAGGAGATGATGGCCTACCGCGGTGCCGTGGGGGCGCCTAAGACCTCTCTCGCGACTACCTGCCGTGAACTTGAGCGCCAGACGGCCGCCTTTTTGGCGGCGAACCCCACTCCCAGCAGTGAGGATGAGGATAACGACCACGAGGAGGAGGAAGAGGAGGAATTGTACTTCCTCGGGTTTATGCCAAAGGATGAGCGGGAGCTTTGTCATGCCGTCGCGGCTCTCCTCTCGCGCCTTTCCGAGGACGACGCGCAACGGGTGCTCATGTCTATTGCTCAGGAAGCCGAAGCGACACGGATGCTCGAGCTATATAGTGGGGTGATGCCAGGGGAAACAGGGGAGGGATCGCCTCAAAATGAAAAGGATGGTCTGACGATTTTGCTTGAGCGGTTGCGCCTGAAATGGCAGCAGCAGAAACCACCACCGCCAAGTGATGATAAACGACACGCATGGCTCCAACGGAATAAGCAACGCTCACCTGGTAGCGGTGGCAATGACGCGGGGTCCAAAGGGCGAGCCTGTTCTCTCGAAAAACAACGTGTGTCGTCCTCCAATAGCACTCGTCGCGTTTATGGAAATCGTGGCGTCTTAAATTCATCCCCCTCGACTCCAAAGCGACGATCTTGGTCTCACAACGTTTTAGACATCTCCGTCCCCGCAAACGTTACACCCTTGAGAATACCAAGTCCCTTGCCAAACTCTCAGGATCGTGATAGTCGGTCTGCGGGGGGTCGAGCTAAACTCACTAAGGCTCCCGTGAAGAATTGTGCTTTGGATAACGGCTATTCCACCCCAAAGGTGGGCGAGCTTCCTAGGAAGATCGCCCCTCTAAGGGGGCCGCGGAAGAACTTGCCCCCCGCAGTGGTTCTGGATACACGGCAGCCGGTGCACTTTTCTTCCAAGGTTTTTAGTGTATCCTCGATCAGTACGCCCAACAGCCTATCCTCTCTTCCGCGTGAATCCCAGGCAGGGTGTTCGCCACAGATTGCGACGGTGGATTTGACAACGCCATCTCGAAGCAAACCCTCCGCTCCGCTCACCAAACCCCCGCTCGCGTCCTCATCCTCCGCCTCCGCGATGCATAGTTTAAAGGAGGAGGTGATCGAGTGGGATCGCGAAGCTTCCGCGCCCCTCCCGCTTCCTCATTCGGAGGTGTGGGAGCGGGATGGAGGGAGCGATCTGCCTGAGAGCGGCCGGCGAGGGTGGAGCTTGAGGCCCTCCTCTTCCTCTCTCGCCCCCGCCCCCCATTCCACGTCGAACCCCCATGTAAGTGAGCAGCCGAACTCAGGAGAGGAGGTGGGGGATTTCACGCTGGATAGTGGTCCAAATTTAACCAACACCGTCCCCTCTGCCATCACGGAGGATGTCAATTGTACGATTACGAGCGAGTCTGATCAAGCCCCCATTGTCAACTCCACACAGGTGCCGCCACACGTCAATGAATTAAGTGCCGGGGGCGAGGATGAAATAACGGAAGAGATCCCTGTTGAGGAACCCAGCTCCGATGAAGTTTTCCAACGGCTATCGCAGCAAGAGCAGGATAATATTTGCACCTTGTCTCAAGAAAAAGATTCATTTGATTTCAACGATAACAAATTGCCTTGGGAGATTTAAATCTATTATCAGATGTCAAAAAGATGTCCATGAATGTTTTTTTGCTATTTATTTTATGTCTTTATCAGACTAGTAAAAAACGGTCATCATGTTTTTACAGTAGCTTTCTCGCTATTCCAAAATCTTCTCATTCTTTCTTTTCCCTGCCCATTAGGGAAGTATTCTGAGTTTCCTGTTTCCCCCTTTTTTCTTTTGCTAGAAAATTCTCCTTTTCCAAATCAGGCATTCACTCATTTAGAAGGACTCGTAGGGATTAATTCACCAAGTCCTAGGAGAGGACATTAGGGATTTAGAAATACAAAAGAAAATCATTGATATCAGCATAGGGGTAATATTAATAAAAATAAGAGTTCTTAGTGCCCACAGTTGGCATGTCGAAGCGTGCACGAGTTGCGGATGTCGAAATCTTCGAGACTTTCGCGTCCTTGTTACGCCAGAGCGCATCACGAGTTGTGGAGAGATTTAAACTCCATCGGGCGAATAACTCAGCGAGTGGTCTGAATAGAAATGCCAATAACCGGGCTCCATACTCTAGTGGTCGTTTAGGAAGTGAGTGGGTAGGATCGAGGACCCCGCAATCGGCGGGGGCGTCAACGGCTCCGAGGGCGACGAAGCCGATTGACATTCTCGTCATTCAGTACTGCATGTATTACTTAGACCTCTCTGGTGCCCCACCAAATCACTATACTCGCCTTGCTCAGGAGGTTTTGACGGCATCGCCAGAGCGCGTCCTCATGTCGCGCTTTTTTACAGGTGTTCCTCTGCCTGTGTTGTGCGAGGGTCTGATCGCCGAATACCCCGCGGAAGCCATCCAGGCGGCGCTGAAGGAGATCGACGAGTACGTCGAGGTAAGAGCTCTTATAGGGGAGTGGATCGATGAACACGCCAACGACGAGGAATTTGATGAGATCGAGGAGGTCATTGCCGACAGCCATGCTGAGGTGTCCAAGGGTCCGTGGAAGGAGGAGGTGAATAGCGACGAGGAAGCGGGCAGCACGGGCTTACCTAACAGCCACCAAGGTTACATGCCGAAAAACGTCGCGCGCGCACCAGTTTTATTATCCACTTTAGGCCTTGCATCCTTGCTACACCGTTCGTTAGAGTTTTGGGTACGAATTCAAAATTTTATGCACGCCGCCTCACTAAGCAGTGCCAAGGCGCATGCCTTTGCGCTCCATCCGCGGTATGAGAGCGACCTCATGCAATTGCTTCGGCGCTTAACCCTGCCGTTGTCTAGCGGGAATTTTCTATCTTCGCCAGTCCGCGCTGCCGCACCCGTTGCGCGTGGATTTCGTTCTGCCGATCTCAACGATAATCCCCAAGTCCTAGAGATGGAAACCCCTTCCATGGAAGATGGGATGAAAAAGTCCGATGAGGATGGGGCGGAAGGTGGGGGGATCATCCCGGATCGCGCAAGGTTCGTTTACGAACCACCAGGCGAACCGACGGAGGTGGAACGCACACGATGGGGTCCTTTTGAAGGCGATCCCGATCTCACCTCAAGGAGAACACCCCGGCGAGACGATGGGGTGGAGACCCACGCCCAGAATGTCGCGACGACGGTCTTAGCGGACACCTTAGCATTATCGCACTGCCCCCTTCCCTCCCCTGGTCCAACCCCCACACCTGCAGGGGAAGGAGTCCTGTCCGCGCAGGCCTCGCAACGACTGAAAGGAGGGGGGGTTCATCCTTCCTTCTACACCATGGTGCACGCCCGTCTGAGTTTTATGGTCGCACGGGATCGTCTTCAACTCTTTAGCCGCACCATGGCCACCAACAACCCCCCTCCACTAACCATCGCTCAACGTAGCCTCTATGAGCAACAGCAACAACTCCAGGCGCAGCAGGCCTTTGGGAGGCCCCAGGACGACCAGTCTTTGGGCGTTCCTCTCGAGTACATCCCCGACGATAATTATTTTCGCAGCCTTCTCGAAAAGCACCAAGAAGGGCCCATGGATGAGGATGAAGAGATCTACAAGGATGAGGTGGTGGATTACTACTTGCGGCACCCCTGGCCCCAGCAAGGAGGGCCCCCGTCGTCACCCACCTCAGCGACGAATACCGCGCTGCGTAGCGGTGGGCGGCGCCAACAGCCTCAGGGACCACCGGCCTCTCCTTTGAACCTCGTCAAACCGCATCGCTTTTGCAAAGTCAAGACGGGATTTACCTGGACGCAGTACAACCGCACGCACTACGACGCGCGTACGAACCCACCACCCCGCACGGTGCTCTGGTATGAGTTCACCCTTTTCTATCCTGCGCTGGCCAACACTAAGCGTGACATGCGGAATATATTTCACATCGAAAACACACCCAAAGGTATGGACGACGACTATTGTTTGTTAGTCTTCAGCGTTGGCCCGCCGTACGCGGATGTGGCGTACCGCATCGTGCGAAAGCAATGGGATACTCGGCGTGGCGGGGTGCGGATCTCGTTTGACTCCACAGGAAGGTACAAGCTATTTTTCCGATTCACGAATAGCAACTATCGGCGCTAGGGGTACGTGAATGAGTTGCAATACAGGGGATATACGTATATATATATATATAAATATATATATACGTATATATGCATTTAATTATTGTGCTTTTTGCTGTCTGATCATAAAAGTAGTACAATTGATCAGATGCCGAGGGTAAGACAAATGCAATTTTCCCACACCCTTTCAATCTTTTAACAAACTAGGCATACTTGCTAGCAGCTTTTTTTAGAAGATCTATATATAGGAATAGTAGGTACATAGGAAGTTTTTTTGCACTATTTATTATTTCAGCGAAAATCATCGCTTGTAGAAAGGTGTTTTTTCCCTAATTATAGCAAAAATCCACACCAACACGCAAGGTATACCAGAAAACAGAATATTTTAGGGAACAGATGCTCCAGTCAACCTCAGGATACTTATATTCCTGCTTTACGCAGCCACACATTCCGCGTGTCCTCGATCGTATGGGTACACCAGCTCGTTTAGAGGCCACATTGGTGCATATTAAGGAGCGCAAGAAGAGATTTCGCTATTATGGCAGCACCTTAGCCAACTACAATGACCGTATTTTTATGTATGGAAGTATGGGTGGCCCCAAGGGCACACGATATATAGTTGAGAAGCATCACCATCGGGTGCAGTACTGCCACCCAGGGGATCCCAATAATCGGTATAACATTCGCACAGTCCGAATGGCGAACGCCCAGTTTGATCAGTTGGGCGGTTTTACTCGCATGAGATGGGATAACGCCATTGGGAACACGAACGTCCTGCAGGACCAGAGTCTTGACAGAAACGCCACCTGTCTTCTCAAGCAGGAGGCTATCAACCGTGTCGAAGAGTGGGGCGTTCCCTACATCCTGCTGGACGAGATGCGCAAGCCGTCCGTGATGGATTGTAAATACCATCGACACCAGCTCTACCCTTTGAAGTTTCGATGGTCGCCAGACCCTGCGACAAACGGCCGTACGGGCGATGCGGATTGGAAATGGCGTGGGGATGAGCTTATCCCCTACACAGATTGCAATGCCTCCTTGAAGGATGATAAAAACAAGTTTAGGTCTTTGTGGATGGCAACTAGCAACGTGGAGCAAGAGAAGGTGGAGGGGGGGGTGGCTTTTAGTGCGTCTCGAAACCATGCATCCGCTGAATCTTAATGAAACGGAATAGAGCCAAAAACTCGCTCGACAAGGGGCCATCACGGAAGCTTTTAGAGGTATCAGTTATGGAAAGTATGAAATCCATTGCTTTTTTTATTCGTGTAGGTATGATGAGGTTTAGCAGAGAACTTTAGCAAAGTACTTGAATATCCACTCAAAATGTAGTATTCAATGAGTTCATTTTTTTTTTAAAAACGAAGACCTTTTGAGTTCATCATCTCAAATTCTACCAGTTTTAAAGAGGGAACTTGTCAAAATTGTAGAAAATGTGGTCTATACAAGGCTTCTTTATTTGTTTTGCATTATTATTATCTTGTTTATTATTGCCTTGATTAACTTTTGTCTCAAATCCTACGCTTGTATTGATGTTGATGCATTCCTATTATTACTTTCTTTTTTCCTTTTGAATTTATTGACAACCCTCTGTTCGGAAGGTCTGGCATGGGCTTTTCTTCCTTTTTAAACAGTCTCCTTGACGTTTAGTCTTAGTATTGTATCGCTTTAATTTATGTTTCAGGCCTGAATTTTAAGTAAATTGCTTAAACTTTGTATATAGAGATATGAGATGCACTCAGGTATGTCGCGCCGCCACTCCGGGCATTGGCATCGCCCCAGAGACCACCCCCGTTAAGTACACGCCTATGATGCTGAATATCAAGAATATGATGTGGTGGAATGGAAGGCGTAGCCCGTATCGTGCGGTCTACCGCGAGAAAACTTGGCTTGAGCTCAGTCGCTGGGGAGACTTCACCAAAAGTGGCCGTCCTGTAATGCGGCAGCGCTATTCACGCGAGGCCCTCCAGGCCGTGTTAGAGATGATTCCAGACGGCTTTGAGGTGGCAGATGTGCCGCGTCCACCGCAGCGTATTCGTGCTCAGTCTGAGGGGATTGTGGGTCGCTGGTATACCAATTACTGGACGCTGCATTCAGTTAAGTATCAATGTTTTCTAGCTGGGATCGAATGGAAGCATGGCGAGCGGCAGCGACCTCGGACAAACTACGACGAGCCGTTTGTCTACGTTGATTTTGAGGAGAGCAAGATGGTGCGTGATTATCGCAGCCGCTGGATAAATGTGAACCGCTCACTGGTAGGCATGTCGAAGCGCATGAAAGAAGCCGAAGAGGAGTCGCGCTATATGCGCTTCAAGAGATTGCAGGATACCTTCTGGTCCGACCGCAAGGTTCTGGTGAACCGTGTAAAATCGATGCACAATCAGGGCACACTTTCGTCAGCTAAGGATCTCCCCATCAAGACTCTGAATATAAAGGCCTTCCTATCAGAGTGACCATTTTAGGTATCATAGGGGAAACTTAGAGATTTTTTGTCGCCGCATCCTCTTTTTCTCCTTTAGCTGTCTAATTTGATTTGCTTGCTTTTGTGTATGTGTACCGTTGGGATCGGTTTGGGTTAAATTTGTGCGAGCCTCCAGGCCTCAAAAATTGAGAAAGAAATGTTATCCTCATCGGAACAAGCTTTCAGCTTTACAGTTATGTATCACTCTTCACTATCTCTTTTGCTTTTAATATTGTTTGTGGCAAGTTTTTTTGCTTTGTCTTTGTTATATTACTGTCAACTCTGGTGACGAGCGCTAAATATATTCATTATTTTTGCACACATACACTAAGAGAGAAGGTCAATAAAGCGTCAAAATCATGTTTCGCTGCTTATCGCGCGTCGGCCTCGCATCTAAAGCGATCACTTCACTTCCAGGCAATGTATCGCTGAAAGAGCACGACCCCCATGTTCACAGGCTCATTCAGAAAGAGCTGCTGCGGCAGTTCCAAGGACTGGAGCTGGTTGCGTCGGAAAACTTCACCTCACGCGCGGTCTTGGAATGTTTAGGATCGGTTTTCACCAACAAGTATGCTGAGGGCCTGCCGGGAAGCCGCTACTACGGGGGCACTGAAGTGGTTGATGAGTTGGAAAATCTTTGCCGTGATCGTGCCTTGGCGGCCTTCGGATTGTCCCCTGATACATGGGGAGTTAACGTTCAGCCCCACAGTGGATCCCCCGCAAATTTTGCGACCTACACGGGTCTCCTCAATCCGCACGATCGGCTGATGGGTCTTGACCTCCCTTCTGGAGGCCACCTCACTCATGGTTTCTACACCGCTACGAAACGCATTTCGTCCAGTTCGATTTACTTCGAAAGCCTACCGTATTCGCTAACACCGGAGGGTATTATTGACTACGACGGTCTCGCGAAGCAAGCCTTCTTATATAAGCCGAAGCTTATCATCGCGGGTGGGTCAGCCTACCCTAGGGACTGGGATTACAAGCGTTATCGCGAGATCTGTGACAGCGTGGGGGCTTACTTGATGGTTGATATGGCCCACATCTCTGGGCTCATCGCGGCTGGTGAGCAGCACAATCCGTTCGAATATGCGGATGTGGTGACGTCAACAACGCACAAGACCCTCCGTGGGCCTCGCTCTGGCCTCATTTTCTTTCGTAAGCGCATCGTCAAGGGCAAGACTGAAATCAACGTCGAAGACCGCATCAACAACGCGGTCTTTCCGGCGACGCAGGGTGGCCCACACATGAACCAAATCGCTGCTTTAGCTACACAGCTCAAGGAGGTTGCTTCTCCTGAGTGGAAGGAGTATATTAAACAAGTAAAGGCCAATGCCAGGGCACTTGCAAATACTCTTTTGGAAAGTGGGGAGATGCTTGTGAGTGGAGGGACGGACAACCACCTCCTCCTGTGGAATCTGCGCCAACACAAAATCACGGGAAGCAAGCTGGAAAAGCTCCTGGATCGTCTGTTCATTACGGCAAATAAAAATTCTATTGTCGGCGACACGAATGCGCGCACTCCACATGGTATGCGGCTTGGAGTTCCCGCCGTAACGACACGCGGCATGAAGGAAGCTGATATCCAAACGGTGGGATCCTTCCTAGTTAAATCTGTTCAGTTTGCTAAGGAAATTGAACAGAAGAATGGGGCAGGATCCACAAGCCTGTCGGAATTTATTAGTGCATGTGACAAACATGAAGGAATTATGGCGCTTGCCAAGGAAGTAAAGGATTTTGCTCAGACATTTCCATTTCCCGGGCTACCGAACCCATTTCCCACAGTGGAGTGACATATTCTTTAATATATATCGTTCTACAACTTTTTTAAACTAAGAATCAAACATCGTAAAAGACCCTACACTTTTTAGTTGTATTTAAAGACCAAGAAAAAAGGAGCTTGTGGGTTGAGTTTCTGGTTCCCTTTGCTAAATGTTTTATTTTTTTATATTCTTTCTTAAATGCTCTCTTGTTGCTGCATAGTTATGCACTTTCTGTGCACTACTAGTTGAACACGCAGGTGTCTACTCGCCAAGGCTTGAGAATTGCGTGGCATATAGGTATGGACAAAGAATGTTGTACCTAAAATATAGATAACACTTTATCACGCTATGTTTAGTATTTAGTTTTACCCTTTTTTATTATTGCAACTCATTGTTTCAATTTTATGCTATAATAGCTACAAATTTCTTTTTTTTTTTTCATAGAAGTGCTCCTGCTTCTCATTATATAGACCCATTCCTGAAAATAGATAAATCGCAAGGATATTTCTGGGAGGGCAGGAAAGAGAGACAATGAATCTATAGACTATACACTACAGCACTGGGATATCGAAGAATGCTTGCTTCCCTAAACGTATCTTTTGTTTGTTCGTCTTTTAAGAAGACCAATTGTTATGAAATTTCTCTAGTAATCTTGGGAAAAGTGATATATTATTCTATCTTCTCTGTTTTCACAAGATAAGTAAATATATTTCACGAGTGAACGTAATAAATCCAATTAAATCGTTTCACTTCTACTCTATAACAATTTAAAACTTTTACGATTAATCATATATCTTGATTTGTTTAACATTCTACCTTTTCTCTGTCCACTGAGGTGCGTTCATTTTTTTTTTTTGAATTGCATCGTATATTAAAGAATATAGTTGCAGTTGTCGACCATTGAGCAGAAAAGTAGGAACTCGTTTAAGGTTTTGTTTTTCTGTATCAATTCAACGTTGAGTTCAATTGTTGGTGGAATTTCCCAGTCATAGTTTGGGTAGCTTTCAACAATCCAATGAGCAATAAAGAAGAGTATCTTACGATCGAAGAGAATGCATGGAGAGGTCTGGAGTACCAGAACTATCCTACAGACTTTTTTGCTACCATCATTATAGAGAGACCGTTTCTCTTGTTTTTGACGATTCTAATACCTTTGGCTGTCTTTGTCATACCCCTCTCGATTGGTTACATTTACATTGACTACACGGTGGGAGAATTTCAGCTGCGCCCAGACATAGAGGTACGTGCGTCGGCGGATACGTTTTCGGAGACGCTTGACGCATATGTTTCCCGAATAAGCGGTGCGTTTTATTTGCGGGACCTGATCGACATCCAAAAACCCCGTAGCCAAATCCGTGGTTCGCTGTGGATGTGTTCGATGGTTGACGTATCCAGGCTGCAATACTACTGCAAGGAGAATAGACTCAGTTGTAATGATCTGGATAACATCTTGCATCCTGACAACTTACAGTACATCACATCTCTGGAACGAAATATTGCTGCACTCGAGTCATTCACTGAGGTCTGCTTTACGAATAACTTGGAGTATGGACAAAATAGTGATGCCTTCCCGGTTTGTGTTCCTCCCACTGGGCTCTTGCAGTACGTTTTGCCAGAGTGGAACAGCACCGAGGAGAGGTGGCATATGAATGGACGTGGCAGTCAGTTGCAGGTGAATTACTTACCAGTATTATTTATGAACCCAAATTATGCGTGGTTTTTCGACTCGAACTTTTCAACAACGAATCATCGGGCGCACCTGATTCGGACGGAGTTTACTTTGGCTTCGTCAGTAAATCAGTCAGTACATGAGTACAAGCAAAAGGTGAGGACTTTTATTCGTGATGCATTATGGTATCTTAAGCGAAATGCAAACCATCCGTTCATCTGGACCTTGATCGGTGGAGATATTGTGGAGTCACTGAAAACTGAAGAAAATACGCTTGGTGAGTATATTCGACTTTTATTAGTGTCACTTTTCTGCCTCCTGCTGGTCTGGTGGCACAGTGGCTCAATATTAGTGGGAATGTATTCCATCCTTCAGGTTGCTGTAACGCATGCTGCGGCATGTGGGATCTATGTACTCATCTACCATAAATTGTCCATCGTATCGTTTTCCGCATCGGTGTGGGTGATGACGTTTTGTCTGCATGGAACATTAAGCTTTTTTGACACCTTTGTGTATAGTGGCATTATGCCAACTAAAATTCAACGCAACGACCTGAGTCTTGAGCAACGCATTACCTTCACTATTCGACGGATTACGTTATGCGTATGGGCGTCGAATAGTATCGCGATTATCTTGTTTTTAATCAACTTGAAGTCGGTGTCAGACTCCCTGCGGCATTTTAGCGTTTTTATGATAATCGCCCTCTTATGGAATTTGCACTTTATCACTTTTATTACCCCGGCCTTTATCACGCTGTACCATTACCACATTTCGAGCAGAGATCGTGCCCTTCAGATGCAGGTCGATCTGTTGAATGAGAAGACGCAATCCTGCAAGCGAGCAGCGCATATGTCAGGCATACTTAAAGCTATACAGCCTATGACAATGACAGGGAATGGCAAACGATCGCTAGACAAGGATCGGATCCTGGTCGACACCACAACGAGTAACACCAACAACGATAACACTACTAACAAGAGGCATCATCAGATACGTTTTCATGCCAAGAGCCGAGATACGTGGCGGATTTTTATTGATAAAGTGATATCCATCAAAGAAGATTTGTTCAGCATACTGCTCAAGCCGTACTGTAAGACGTCTCAGACGTTTGTGGGAAAGAAATGTGACGCTTCAAAACCAAGAGCTTCGGAGGAAGCGTTCCCGATGGAGGACTACGCTTCTGCCTGCAGAAGCGTAGAATTTCATACTGGGCCGCAAGCCCAATACTACAACCGGCGGATGCCGCTGTATGCGGACGTTGTGCACGTGCCGCGTCAGTACACCGAACGTTCCCAGGAGTGCTGGAGGGTGATATCTACCGTGATAACTCAGCATGGGAGCGTGGAGGAACCTCGCGTTGCGCCGCTCCCACATTGCGGCCACAACATGTCATCTGACGTGCGTGCGTCTATCCGGTCCTGGCGTGCTGTTGCGGAAGCACTCGATGTGAAAACTCGCGGACCAAGTAAATTGGCCGATTTATTACCCCTGGTAGCACGGTCCGTGGTGCGTGCACAAGATACACGGTACATTGTTTTCAATTCGGGGGAAGATGCCAGCAGTAACGTGGAGAGGGAGTCCACAGTAAATTGTGATCTCGACAATCGCAAGGACCAGTCGTGCTTCTGCACGCGGTGGTTTCATTCATTGAAAAGGTCTGGTGCAAACTCTGATGAAACTAACGAAAATAATGAAAACTCATCTAGAACGCTTTTCAAGGAGCGAAGACGTCGGCATTTTAACTCTAATATGATGCATAAGCGTCGCTTCACGCTTTTTGAGCGCTTTATCGTAAAGGTGTACGTGCCTATTTTGCACTATATTCGCTGGTTCGCGTTGCTGGCTTTCATATCGCTACTTGTGTTTGTGTGTGTATTTGGCTTACGCATTGACGTCGCTGGGTTACCTACCACGCTTCTAAAGAACCCTCATGGACCCTCTGAATCATTCGCGAAGCTAGATGATGCCTTTGGTCACCGTGGTGTGTGCACGTTTTGTGGGCCCTATTACATGCCACTGGGTTTTTACAAAACAGCGACCAAGCGGGATATCGAGCTCTGTAAAACCAAGTACATTCACCCTCAGATAAACGCGCATGTTGACAGGTGCGATGTGTGTGACGGTCAAGATGAGTGCATGGATTGCGCAGGCAATCCTAATGGCATACGCGTACTCCAGTGTGGCGGATGCGAGCTTCCTTTCCTTCCGTCATGCATCACCAGCGTGGCCCGCAACGGCACCTATTGCGAATGGAGTCAGGGTAAAAAGAACTTTTTCGGCTATAACTGCAGCGTGGAGTGCAATGCGGAGAAATGTGGCCCAAACGGCATATGCGACATGCACACTGGGGCTTGTATTTGTCATGAAGGCTTCGCGGGTGACCGGTGCAACGAGTGTGCTGAATGGCTTTTGCCCATCAAGTTAAATCCGCAATGTACTTTAGAATGCAACTTGACGATGAACACAGATGAATGCGCATGCAACTTAAGCATCGGCAGGTGCACTAACTGCTCCAAAGGCCAACGTGGGTTTGCTTGCAATTATTCCAAGTCTAATTGTGGACCTCATAGGGTGTACGATCCGGTTAACGATACATGTGTGTGTGAGAATGGTTGGTCTGGTGCCATGTGCGACGTAGCGGCGAAGTGTAGCATGCGTGGGGTGTGGCTAGAGGCGGAGGAGTCACCAACGATGACGGCGACGTGCATGTGCATAGGGCATTGGCGTGGTCGAACTTGTCAGCTATGTGACTGTCTGAACGGCGGGATGTGCGATGTGAAAACTGGTAAGTGCATCTGTGAGGGCGCGTTTGTCGGCGAGCGATGCCAGACGTGCAGTGCGGAATGTATACAGCATGGGGTGTGTCCTACTGTGGATAGGTCAGGTTTGAATATCCGAGCTTGTGTGTACGAGAAATGCCCTCAAGAATATCAGTTATTGGAGACGTCTTGCTCGATGTGTGCCTACAAACCTGAGCATTCAGAGAAGTGTGCTGGATATAAGAGCGCAGACACTTGTAGTATGCATTCAGAGTGCTGGTGGGACTGGAATATGTGTATCAGTGCGTACTCGTATAACAGATTGCTTAATGAGTCAGATTGTAAGTGTCACAACTCGCTTCTGTGGTCTGGCAAGAATTGTGAAAAATGTCTTGCTCCGCCCGGTGCGACATGTGTGGGAAATGAATATATAAGGGGATGCAATGGGCAGCTGTATTGGTTACCGACTCATACGGTAAGCGTAGATCAGTGTGGTGTCTGCGGTGGGGATGGCAAGTGCCGAGGGTGCGATGGAATCCCAAACAGTGGTGCAGTTTATGACAAGTGTGGAGTGTGCTCTGGAAACAACGATTGTGACACAGAGCAAGATATTCGCCCTTTTTTTGTGAACTATTTAATAGACTTTACACGCGTGTCCAATATTACTGCATTGAATATGAGTAAATACGTCCTACCTTTCTGTGCGGCCGCTAGGGAACAATTCATGCGTACGAAGATTCCTCCTTGTTTCATGGAGGACTACTTGAGAGGTGCAGCTGATCGGGATACTGTAAAGTCTCTGAGTGATCTGTACACTTATGCTGTAGCCAATGGTCGCATGGCGGAAGTTATCTTTGAAACCAATTCTAATTCTGAGCCAACAGCACTAACACACATGATTTATCGATTCTCGTTGCCCTCTGTGCGGACCGCTTACGCGAGCAACGAATCCATTTCATATGTGAACCTTGCCAATCCTGAGAGCGTCTTCAGATTCTACAATGCACTTCAGAAAAATATTGTCCATGTCTTCCAACCCTTACTATCAGAGGTTAATAGCAGCATTCTTGTAACCTCCCTACCGTTTCAGTCGGCTGTCTCTTTTGTGTATTCGAGGAGTGGTCTTTTGGTTACGGTGTGCATTGGTGTGATGGTGTGCTTTCTAGCGTTGCTGATTTTTTCTGCCAGCATGATGATAGCGCTTGGCGGGGCGATGGTTGTAACGATGGTTGGATTTGGGACGCTAACGATTTGTTATTTTTGCGGTTGGAGGTTGGATACCGTGATGTGTATGTGTGTCTCGAGTACAATCCCAGTAAGCATGGAATACGTCGTCAATATAGCAGGTGAGTACACAGATTATTTGAAGTCAACTACTTCCCACCTCTTCGCGCGCGGGGTGTCGCGGAGGACCGCTCTAAGGGTATCCATGCTCCAATCGCTTCCGTCATTTTACACGAGCCTGTTCTCTGTCTTGGTCACCTCCTTTGTGTTCTCTACCTCGAATTTGATTCCTTCGGAGCACTCGGGTCAGGTATGTGCGGTGATGCATGTAGTGCTACTTTTTGCAGTAACGCTGTTTTCTGGCACGCTCCTGGCAGTGGGACCGAGAAAATCTTTCCATCATTGGACTGTGTCGATTGCGCTGACACTCTTGATTTTACCATTAGGCGCCACTTTTGTTTCTTTATGCATTTATTTTAGATCATACTTCTGAGAGTCTCTTCTTAAGTTAGCGGGTGGTAGCGCCTCGACGTCCTTAGACAACCTGCCTTTTCACATGGTGCATGGGAAAGGGAGACCTGAACTTTGACACTTCGGGTGATTGTCGTTGCATAAAAAGATTAATTCAAGAATTCTTGCCTTAGGGGAGGAGTCCTGAGTGCGATTTCATTGCGACTCGGGTGTACCAACGGATGTTTTTAAATTGGTCGTTAAATCTGACGATATATTCCTCATCAATGGGCATATTGATGTTAACATCACAACAAGCTCTCTGCTTTCTTGGCGCATTTAATAGAGCTTCGTTGTTTAATACTTTATTATTATAGCTATTATTATTATTCCCTTTCTTTATCTGAATGCTACTTATTATATAGTGGCATTTATTAGTACTTTCATTTAATGTGAACAAGTGACTTGAAAAAGCAAATTTGTGTATGAAATAAAAATGGGTAGTGTTAGAAATACGTCATTTCTTTACAGATATGACATGATAGCATAGTAACGGACTTGTACGAATGATAATAGTTCCGATCTTCCTAAGGAAGAGTGCTGTCACATTACCTCCCTCCTTTTTGCTATACCCAAATCCTTAAATAATTATACGTGGGCGTGTGCAATGATCAGATAAAAATTTAAACGAATGAAGAAAAACTTATAAAAGAAATGGCTTACACTAAGAGAGAGACGGAGAGGAAGCATACTTTCAATAGAATCAGCAAGATAATGCAAGACCGAGGAGTCCAGGTGGTGTAGGATAATATTTTTAAATTTAAGAGGCCTAAAGGATTCTTATGAAATGCCTCATGGTTGTCTAATAATTTTTCGTAGAATAGATCCTTTGACTAATACACTATCAGAATATTTTTTTTGATTGTATGCAAACGACTAAAGCCAAAAGAACCTTATGTTCTTTTTCATTATTTCTATAATTCTTAAATTATTTGATGCGGGTTGAAAATTGTTTTAATTAATGTTGTAGATTGTGTAACCATTTATTTTGTACATCTTCATAAAGCCAAATCAAGTATGGTCGTCTCAGGGATAAAGACGATCAACATGATTGATATTGTCTTTTTTATTGATTTTTTAACATTTATTTATTCGTCTTTACCAAAATCCTAATTACATAATAAGGATCGACCAACGACTGACTTAACGGGCATATTCTTTTTGCTTATTCATATCTATTGTTTTGCGATTTCGTGATGAAAAGTCTTGCTAAAGCAGTTCTTTCCTCAATTCACTCTCGGGGACGCAAAAACCTTTATTTTGATTTGCCTTTCCGATCAACTCTTTTAGTTCTTTCTTTTAAGACTGTTGAATGCGCTTTCTAGAAGGAAAAGCGTTAAAACAATCGTAAACCTTTTTTCCTAATTATATAAAACAAAAAATAGAAACACATCATAAAAAGCATCATAGAGAACATAGCCTCGTGTCCTTTATTAGTTCTTATTAGTCGATTCCTTAGAATTGAAGAAGAGGATGCATGCCGCTGGCATTACGGATGATCCTACACTCCCGGTACCCCCTGTAGAGGCGGCGGCTGCTATGGAGATCGACGCCGACGGCATTCGCGTACGCGATGTGGTGTATCTTTTCCTTAGCCGTCTGGTGGACCCCACGCTGCGGCATGCCTCGGAGGCGGCCACGAACGCGGCCTCCCCTTTTTCCCCTCTTCCCGGTTTCGACGGTTTACCCACCGCGGCGACTGGCGCGGACGACGCCCTCCATGAGCTCAGCTACCTCGTTCGACAGATGGTGCGCATCAGCACCTCCTTGGATTGGTCGACCTGCGTTGTGAACTGGGATCACATCCTGCGCTTCGACGAGGACGCGGCGGCGGTGATCGAGTCGGACTACCAGCGCTTCACCCCGTTCGTGAACGAGGCCCTTCACCGCGTGTTATCGCAGTACTTCGCCGAGGACTACGCGAATCGGGGGAAATGTCAGCCCCAGCTCGTCTTCTCAGGGGTCCCTCGCTGCCTGACGCTTCGCGCGCTACGGGCGTCGATGGTGGGGAGGCTGTGCGGCGTCCGCGGGGTCGTCACGCGGACCTCGCAGGTCCGCCCGGAGCTCCTCGTCGGCGTCTTTCGCTGCCTCGACTGCGGGACGGAGAGCCATCCGATTGAGCAGCAGTTCTGTTATACGGAGCCGCCCGGGTGTCGGAACTCGGCGTGTGAAAATCGCTCCCGTTTTAGCCTCATCCTGCACCACCCGAAAACCCTTTTTGGGGACTGGCAGAAGCTGCGGATGCAGGAGGATGCCAATAACATCCCGCCGGGCTGCATGCCGCGCACGATGGAGGTGGTCGTCCGCGGCGACGCCGTCGAGGTGGCGAAGCCGGGCGATCGGATTATCGCGGTGGGCTGCCCCGTCGTCGTTCCCGAGGTGGCGAAACTTTTTAACCTCTCCAACCGGCGAGAGGTGCAGCAGCAGATGACAGGGGCGCAGCGCGCGCAGCAGGATGCGCAGGCGGAGTTGGAGGGCGCGACCGGGCTGCGCGCGCTCGGTGTGCGGGAGCTGAACTACCGGATGTGCTTTCTCGCCTCGACGATCACCGACGGCGCGGGGGATGATCGGAAGATGAAAGAGGCCATCAAAGGCTCCGTCAACCAGGACGGCGCGGACGCACGGGAGGAGGTGCGCCTCACCTACGCGGAGGCCCAAAAAGTCCAGCAGATGCGTCGCCACGAGGGCCTTCTCAAAGCTCTGACGAGCTGCGTCGCGCCGAATGTGTTCAAACACGACGTCGTCAAGCTCGGGCTCCTCCTGCAGATGGTGGGCGGGGTGTCGAAGACGACCGTGGAGCGGATTGCGCTGCGTGGGGATATCAACGTCTGCATCGTGGGCGACCCGTCCACGGCGAAATCGCAGTTTTTGTTGTGGGTTTCGCGAAACATGCCGCGTGGGGTGTACACGGGCGGGAAGGCCTCGACGGCGAGTGGTCTCACCGCCACCGTCACGCGCGATGCCGATACCGGCGAGCGGACGATCGAGGCAGGTGCCCTCATGCTGAGCGACCGTGGGATTTGCTGCATTGACGAGTTCGACAAGATGGATATCCGAGACCAGGTCGCGATCCACGAGGCGATGGAGCAGCAGACCATCTCCATCGCCAAGGCGGGCATCAAGGCGACCTTGAACGCGAAGACCTCCCTCTTGGCGGCGATGAACCCGATTGGCGGGAAGTACGATCGCCGGAAGCCGCTCCAGAAGAACATCACCATCACGGCGCCGATCATGTCGCGTTTTGATCTGATGTTCGTGATCGTCGACGACGCCGGCGAGGAGGCGGACTACGCGATTGCGGATCAGCTGCTGCGGCTTCACCGCTTCGGCGGCGCCGCGGTCTGCCCGCCGTTCAGCACGGAGGATTTTCAACTTTACCTCCGCTACGCCCGGTCCCTGACGCCGCGGCTGACGCCCGCCACGTCGCAGCTCATCGTCGCCGCCTACCGCGATATGCGGCTGCAGGACTCGCTGTCGAATCGGAGCAAGGTCTACCGCGTCACGACGCGGCTGCTGGAGAGCATGATTCGACTCTCCGAGGCCACCGCGAAGATTTACCTCGCCGAGGAGGTCACCCCGAGCCACGTCGAGGTCGCGCTGGAGCTGATGCGGCAGTCGTTGTCGACGCTGGATATGACGGACGTGGAGCTCACGGGTGGGGGACCGGCCGATCCCGCCGACGCGGCGGAAACCGCGGCGACGAACGTGAAAAAAGAACCCGGCGCGGCGGTGATGGACGGGATGGCGAGCAACTCCTTTACCGTCACCCAGGCCGAGGGGGAAACGCAACCCCCGCCCGAGAATTCTGCCCCGGGGCCGATCGTGCCGTCCGCACCACCGCCGCCGCGCAAGGTTGTGATCACCGCGGATCATTACTTTAGCATCGTCAACCGTCTTCTGACGCGGATTCAGACGCTTGGGGAGGCCAATGCCCCACTTCGCTCCGAGTTGGTGACGTGGTATTTGGAGCAGGTGCATTCCTTGAATCGCTCGCAGCTGGAGATGGAGTTGCGGTACGTGAATCTAGTATTGTCAAGGCTCGTCAAGGAGGGAAAGCTGCTCGAGGTGGAAATGAAGGAAGGCGAGCCGGCACGAATTTTCTTGGATCCTAACTTCAACCCAGACTTTGCGCAACGGTAGCGATCTGTTCTTTAGCCTTATCCCTCTGCTTCTCCATATTCCATCCCATTTTATTAATTTTGTGTGTTCACACCGAATTAGCTTTCTCTAGGTATAAGAACGAAAACCTAGCCATTAAGCAAAAAAGAGAATACTTGAGATAGGTGTGCAAGCTAATCTTCGTCGCGACGAAGGGATGGAGACTAGCCACGTGAATTTAGTGTATGCGCACAAATTTCCTCTTAACAGTGAATATGAATCCATATTTCATATTTTCTTTTTGTATCTTTTTTTTTACTTCTACTGGGACTCTATATTTTATAGGATGATATATGGAGACTCGAAAGGAGCGAGACCTTTATATTCCAAAGAATGGAGAAACCTTTTTTGCGAAAGATGGTACTGAGTCACAAGTCTTAAGCGATGTCATAGATGAAAACTACAACCCAACAGAGGAAGAAGTTGAGCAATACGCGCTGTCGCTGGGTATGAAGTTGCCGGAGGACAAAATGTTTCTGCCGATAGCACGAGCGGGCCTCAAGGAGCTGCTTCCCCAAGAGTGGAGGCCCTGTCGTAATAGTAAAAACGACCTTTATTACTTCAACTTCAAGACGGGGGAAACCTCATCGAAGCATCCTGTGGATTGCATCTATGAGAAACGATACCAGGAGGCAAAGAGGCGACAACTCGCCGAACAGAAGAAGAACAGTGTCGGCAGTGCCTCTCCGATGAGCACCGGCATTCCTAGTCAAGGGAACGGCACCCCAAAATCCCAATTACAGCGGGAACTACCTGCGTGGGGCCAAGGTGTTGTTAAGAAGGCGGGGGATGATGCTAGTTTCAGCTACAGTACCGCAAACAATTCAACCAAACTAGCTGGGGAAGCTTCCATGGCTCGCCAAGCTCCCGCGCCTACATCGAGTGATAAGAGCCTTTTTGATCGGAGCATGGCGCTGTTCTCGGCGGATCTTTTGGCCCCAGCGTTATCCGTTTCATTCAATGCAAACGAATCCTCATCGCCACTTTTAGCCGCCTCCCAGCAGCGTATTGTCTCTGAATCTGAGTATGCCTTAGAGGAGAGCATTCGAGCCGAACTGAAAGAGTCCTTTGAGGCCGAAAAGTTAAAGGCGGAGAGTCTCCAAAAAAGCACCCTAGAGGCCATGCGCAAGCAGCATGAGGAAGAATTACGTGAGATTCAAATAGAGGAAGCCAAACGCTATGGAGACGATGACTATGCAGATGCTGAGATCGCTTTGGGAGAAAGCTTTAGAGGTCTCAGTATAGAGGAGATAGACGCTCATATTGAAAAAAAGTATAGTACCCTTCTTGCAGATTTAGAAAAGGAGGCGAAGAGCCTCGAGGCCCAATTAAAGGAGTCACGTATGGAGAAAACTCGCAAAGAGGATCTCATTCGTCGAAATCAGCTAGCGGTGGAGAGAGAGGCTGCGGCGGAAAAAGAGAACATGGTTAGAGAAATGGAACTCGAAATGGAGAAGTATTTGGAGGACAAGAAAAAAGAGCTGGATACGCTCTTTCAAACAAAGTCTGACGCAATCAAGAAAAGCTCGAAGGCGAGTTTAGAACGGGCGCAGCAGATGATGAGCCGGTCATTTAAACAAAAAGAAGCGCACGTTTTATCATCAACTGAGTTGTCTCGGAAGAGGCTAGAGATAGAAAAGAAAAAAATCGAAATGAGTATACGAAATATGACGAATGCTCTCTCCTCTTTGGGCATCGCGTCTGCCCCAGGTTCTGCGGCGGACAGTAGCCAAGAAAACTCGGCCGTTCTTACAGCTATTATCAACAAGAGGGATACCGCCTGCGCCGAGCTGCGCACCAAGATTCTCCAAGAACAGGAGGCGTTGCGTGAGGAGGAGGCGTTTTTTCCCCGTCTTCAGTCTCAACTCGCTGATAAGAACGTTGCTCTCCCATTGGCGATACTGGTGGATTCCACCAAGAATATCGAAAACCCAAGTACCGATGCCTTTACTCCTATTTCGGATTCCCCAGTTGAATGCGTGGAGGATTCGTCAGAATATAACGCTATACTAGAATCGCTCCGCGCTGCGTACGCCAACGAAAAAGAAAGATCCTTAGCCAACCTGGCGAAGGAGCGAGAGGTGAAGCTGAGAGCCCTCAGCGCTGAGAATGCAAAATCAGCCCAACTCCCTGCATCGTGGGTAACGCCTTTGTCTTCCACGGGTCGAAGCCTGAGGTTTATGGATGAAGGCACACATCCCATCATGATAGAAGGAACTTCCAATGCCCCCCTAAACCAAGCGCGCTACGAATCCACAGAAGAGGATTTGGCCAAACGTTTAGCTCAAAACTTTGAAAGAGCCCGGACTGATGGTGCACAATGGTTAAGCAAAGCCGGTGGCCACGAAGCTTTAGATACCGACGTGGGCTCCTACGTTAAGCAGGGGTCCACTCCTCATGGGCAACTCGCTCAGACCAAGCCTCATCAAGAAGAGATGTCAGGAGATTTGGGCAAGCCCATCACAATCTCTACTGATGCTGCAGAGTCTGAGAAAAACAAGGGGTTGGCGTTGGCTGATAATGAGAAGCAGACCCTTGAGCGTTGTACAGAATATCTACAAGAGGAAAAGCTTCTGCGTAAGAAGATCGATGAAGAGATGGAGGTCTACTTTGCATCGGAGAGGGAGAAACTTCATCAGAAAGCAACTAGCACTCCTGCTGGAGCTGGTAATTTCAGTAGCGCCGCGCCACGCCTAGACAAATCTCATAGTAAACGGCGTGATTCAGACCTTCCGCAGCAAGCGGAGCTCGCTGAGATGCGAGCGATAATAGAGGTGAAGCGACGGAAGGCGCAGGAGCTAAACGAACAACTTTCAAGAGAAGCTAGGAGTGAATCTCCAAATACCTATCCTGAGTTCACCACAGTGCCACCTAGATGTATTTCGAGGGATGCTTATGAGGCCCGGATGGCAGCCTTGGAGGAGAGCTATCGTGAACAGGAGGAGACCCTCCGTATGGAACTTGCCGAGTGGTCAAGGCGAAGGGCTGCGGCAACCCGTGAAAGCCCTTCTCCCGGCATCACCAAGACGCTCCGGGGTATTCAAGGGGGCAGGGGTGAGTACCACGTACGAGCCCATTCGCAGTCAACGGAACCTGCGGCGGCTGACGGACTTGCGGCGTGGTCGCAGCCGATGACAACCGCAGGCGACTTTCAGACGTCTGATGCACTCCGGTATTGGAAGCGTCAGAGGGAATATGTTACTGAACTGCATCACGATTTGGATTCTCTGCGGCAGGGTAACGTCAGCACTGAGGCATGTGGAGCCCAAAAGGAACCCCTTGGGCTGTTTTCTGTGCCACAAAGTGGTTCAGTAGCTCCCCCTCCTCCGTTCTCTTTCCATGAACCCTCCCATCTGCATCGGACACAATCGTCGGGGATGCTGGATTCGCATCCCTTAAAGACACCCCGCTCTGCTGAATTTCTTACGGTATCTGTTGACGGCCTAAACAGTCGACTTTCCAAGTTAGTTTCGACGATGACTGGGCAGCGGCACCAGTCGACGAGGCGCGAAGGGAGATCGCAGTTAACGCCCAGTCACCAAGATTCCTTGAGGAAGAAATGGGACCATGCACTTCAAGAGTACTTCTTTTCCATTACAGAAGGCCCTTATGAGAATTTTTAGCTCTAGGGAGCTTTCAATTCTATAGATATATTTGTAGTATTGAAATTAATCTGCAGTTATGGATAAATTTGTTTTCCAAGTTTACTTTGTCTGTGCACCTTTGAAAGGTAGACAATGTTTTTATTATTGACGTCATACTTTTTTTTCTTTCAATGTACTTGGGATGGGATTTCTTCTAAATATCTATTCCTACTACAGAGAACCTATAATATGTAAAATATACAGAAAATTCTGTCATACGCATATACCTTGCTTTAAAATATATATATATATATATATATATATATATACTAATTACTATCAGACAACG